AAGCATCAGTCTCCCTTGACACTCCTGCTCCATGGACTGGCAGGCTGTGGGCTAGAACACAATGTTCATCAAACTCCTCCGGAGGATTCACCTGCGCTACAGCCGACTGCGGCTCTGGCCAGGTTGCATGCAATGGTGCGGGGGGAGCCCCGCCTGCAACCCTTTTAGAATTCACACTGGCATCAAAGGGGGGCCAAGACTTTTACGAGATCAGCCTCGTGGATGGCTTTAACTTGCCTGTCTCAACAACTCCACAAGGCGGCTCCGGTGTAAATTGCACCTCGATCAGTTGTAACGCTAAGTTTAACTGTCCGTCGGATATTGCTGTTACAGGGTCTAATGGGAGCATCATCGGTTGTAATAACGCTTGTGTTGCGCTCCGGGAACCGAAGTACTGTTGCACCGGCCAAAACAGTACGTCAAGTACTTGCCAACCCTCAATCTACTCATTGTTCTTCAAGAACCAGTGTCCTGAAGCTTATAGTTATGCTTATGATGATTCCTCAAGCACCTTCTCTTGCACGGGCAGGCCCAATTACCTTGTTACTTTCTGCCCCAATTCTGAAATAGTGACGAAGGAAAGTAATTTATTTAAATGTACTATATATATGCAGATATAAGGGTGCACCTTTAATATTATTTAAAAAAATTAATTTTGAGATGTATAAAAATTATTTTTAAAATGCTCTAACTATTAAAAATAACTCAACAAATATAATTTCCTACAACTGGACATACAATTTAATTTTGTAAAGACTCACATTGAGGGTTGGTGGATCTGAGGATTTAGTTTTTCTTAGTTATTGGCCCATAACTAGAATTAAAACTTAAAGAAATTTGTACCAAATCAATATAAAAAGTATGCTCTTCCTATTGTTACAGAAAAGAACTAATCTTGTTCATCAAAAAGAAAAGAACTAATCCCTTTCTCTACCCTAATAAAAAAAAGAAGAAGTAATTTTTAGATGAAAAATTATTGGTATATATTTAGTTTAACATATTTTTTGATATTCATTTTAATTTATTTATTAAAATATAATATAATTATAATCAATTTAGTCAATTTTTATAT